TGTCAACAGACCCAGTATTGTAATCACATTACAGCTGTAGCTGTTAAATCACTTCATATCAACACACAATACATAAATGCATAAATTGACTGTTAGATTATATTTTTATTTGAATGATATATGCTGTGTATATGTGTTCTTTGGCCTGATCTTCTTAGTCCATTCTTTATTCTTTTAACTTTAAAGCAGCTCTTCTGGGATCTCAAACCTACTGACATATCAAAATCTGAATTCATAGTAAGGAGAAGATGATTCACTACTTTAATGTGTGCAGTTTAGGTAGAGTGGCAGGCCCTGAAAGCAGAGGGGTTAACGTTGATTCAAATGACATTATCTGAGAGAAGCTTTGGCTTCTTGATTGGGACCGCATGTCCTCCCCTGATTCGTCATGCTTCTATCACATGACCCTTTTTCAAAAGAAAGCAGAGTGGCTGCTGTGTTGCTATCGGTGTGACAGTTTCCTAGAGCAGAGCCACACACAGAGCAGACAGGCCATAGCCTGTGCTTCTGCTGCACAAGAAACCACAACCACCAGCTTCCTGCAGGCTTGTGCAGAGGTGTGGGAGCGCTTATTTGTGCTTTAGATGTGACTACCGTGAAATAATCAGAAAATGAAGTTCCTCTGATTGACTGCTTTGTTCTCAACGCTGCTCCATCTCTTCAGTCAATCTCTAGCTCGTTCGACCACCAATGTACTCTCTCTCTCTGTTTCTCTATCTCTCTCTCACTCATTGAGCTGGAGAGAGGAGGAGCCAACTTTCAATGTGTGTCTTTTAAAACAGCAACGCTACAGAGTTTACCTTGAAGTCATTGGTATAATATTTCTCCATCATTATTCTATTTACTACTCCCATTATATGAATCATTTCTGTCATATGCATTGAATGTGTTGTAACTCGGTTATGGTGTTCATTCTGTACACATGACATCATCACACTGCTGTCCATGCTGATAGAGGATCCTCCTCTGTTGCTCTCTCTAAGGTCTCTTCCTTTTTTTCTCTCCACGTTAAAGGTTTTAAATATTTAAAATAGAATTGAATGAATGACTGAATATTATTTTCAGCAAGCACATCTACAGTTGACGGACGTTTGTGGTAACCACATCAGCACCAACATGACAAGGACAGGCTAGTGTCACTCCACATCTTACATCTCAGATGTGACAGGAGAGACAGAGTAACATCTAATAGAATCAAATCAAGGCTATTACCACTGAGTGAGTGGGTTCATGTACAAACTGAAACCAAACGTATCAAGAAGCGCCAAAAAGGTTTAACTTAGAGAATCAATATTCAGGTGAATATTGAAATCACTGATAGTTGAAATAAAAGAGACGCATCTACTCAGAAATGTAGATTTGTTTGGAAAAATAAGCGCCCTAGAATAAAATTACAAAAACTTCAATCTCCCATAAGTAAGGGTGATTAGCTTTACCGAATTGAAAGTATTATCACTGGGCTTCACGGCTGATATTGCTCACAGAATGGGTCAAAGATAGTCAATTTTTATTTTCAGATTTGGAAATTTTCCAAACTCCGGGAATTTTATTTTACATTCTGGTGTACTCTGAGAAGAAAATTAAGTCATAAGACAATTACTTTAAGCAAAAAAATTATTCAGTTATTAATCACTATTTCAGCTCTATTATTATTAACCTTTATTTAGACAAAATCCATTGAGACCGAGGTCTCATTTTCAAAAGTTTTGGTCAAATAAAAACAAAGATAGCAAGAGTAGCGAGAACCATCGCCTGTACAAATAAAGTGATTAGTTTACATTGAATCCTGTTACTGCTTCATATTAACTTCCACTGTTACTCTAAAGCTGTTAGAATTGTGGCCTATCTTCTATTTGCAATTAATATGCATTCAATCCAGTTCAATTTTTTAAATGAAAATGATAATCTACTCTGGCTAAAGTAGTTTATCAAGAGTAAAATAATAGCTGTGATCTATACACACCTCTGCATTAGCAACCCGCTTAAATGAAGGTACAGGCACCTTAACCCTCTCATTACTTCAGGGTTCTTGAGAGCAACTTGGGACTGTTAGTACACTCGCTGTGGTCATTACAGTGAACAGTGTGTACAGTGTGATGAGAGGGCATGTGAGCCCTTGTTGCTGTACTTTATCTCCTTGGAGCAGATGCTGCATTTAACATACCCTGCCTTTTCAATGTATTTAAAACACTGTGACAGCAGGAAGCTGTACTCACGTCTGTTTAGACCTCCACCTTTATCCAGGCCCATCTCCACCTTTATCCGGGCCCACCTCCACCTTTATCCAGGCCCAGCTCCTTTACATCTCAGCCCTGCGTCAAGCTGCGCTACACAACCAGCCTCCTCTCCCTGAAGCTCTTTGACCTCATCATCTCATCAGTATCTGGGCCTCATGTTTTGTGGTCATGAAAGTTATTCCGACCACGAAATCATCCTCATTCTACTTTGAGTTAAAAAAACCAACCTGCAACCAGATGCGCCGGTGTTCCGGTTTTAACGTTAATGAGTGACCGCGTGAACTGAACCGGAACACGGGGGGGCTGAATGTTTCATCACGTTACGTTTTTTCCTTCTAAATCGCGATAATGACGAACGTTAACAATCGACAAAGTTCCGCATGCAGTGGACTTTAACTTAACCCAGCAAGTGTGAACGGTAACGGAACATAACGGAACTTAAACTTCAACGGAGGGAAATGAAGACGCTGTACACATCTGAACGCTGATTGGCCAAGACTCGACACGTCAAAGATGTTCTATTGCGAAGATCACGACATCACATTTTCTCCTCGTCTCACTCCAATCTGAGAAACGCCGACTGGCCAGTTTAAATAAACCCACATTACTCTATCAAAGATCAAACTATTAAAGACAATATCAAAGACAAATATCAAACACAAGTTATTACAAATGACTTTGTTCAATGCTTAAAATCCTTTCAAGGGTGCGTTTGCACAATCCCACGTGAAGTATTTCATGTGTTGTAAAGCCACGTTTAAAGTAGTCTTCAATGTACTCACAATACATTTCCATGTCAAGTGTACAGTAACCAGCCAAAGAGCTGCTTCTATGACTGTGTTTAAGTATCTCATAACTTCGACTTTCTATCTCAGAATTCTGACTTATGTGGAGAATTTCAGTATTAAACGCATTATTAGTAGGATTTAATAACACCCCTAGTGGTGAGTAGAAGTGTCACAATAATAAATATGTTAGTCACAATATGTTTCCATATGGAATGTATTATGTTTACAAATATTCTCACTTATAGAGGATATTATATGTTACAGTATATTAACTCATTGAATGTATTAAATCATAGAAGTAGGTATTAAAACACTAAGAATAGTTTTGAGGGTCAGATAGGGATTCTGAGTGAGGTGTCAGACATGCAGCAGCAAATGGAGGCGACCTCATCGATGGAGGATGGGGCCAGTGGGACGGTCAAATGCCAAGCTGACCAGCAGGACAGAGGAGGAGTCCAAGATGTTTTGCGAGGAGCCAAGATGTTTTGCTAAGGGATCGATAATGGGAGGGGACAGAATTCAAATGAAGCCAATCACTAATCGCCACGGAGGGTCATTCACACGTTTTATGACAGTATCGGACACTTTCAGACTCTCAGGGGATACAAAAGACAATGTTTTAGGGAGTTTACCTCAGATCACTGCAGCTCTCATTTTCAGCTAACTGTCCGCGCCGGACTGTGAGGAGATGCGTGTATGTGGTCTCTGCTCTCGAGAACATTACTATTGATAGTTAATTCAGTTTGTAAGTGAACTTTGTGTAGTACATTAAATATTGTTTTTAATTTGAACCGGATCTAGCTCATTCTTCTGATGCGCGTGCGCAGTAAGAAGCTCGCAGCAGAAGAGTACCTGCGGCCTGCAGGCTCCTTCATCCTTTGTTCTTAAAAACCTAACACTTACTATCTCAGAATTCTGACTTTCTATCATAATTCTGACTTTCTATCTCATAATTCTGACTTTCTATCTCACAATTATGACTTTCTATCTCACAATTATGACTTTCTGTCATAGTTATGAATTTCAGTCTCATAACTTCGAATTTCTATCTCATAATTTCGACTACGGGGATATTTTTATTATCAAGTCTAACTTTAAATTTTTTATTTTTTTACTTTTTTTGCTGGCGGATTCGCGGGCCACATAAAATCACGTGGCGGGCCGGACAAGCTCAACACAGAGGCGGACAGACCGCAGTCAGTGCGCCTGTATTCTGATCTTTACGGTAATCAAACAGCTCAAGAGCCGAGCGGTTGATGTTAAACTGTGAGCTGGTGAACTTCCTGTAGCCGTTAAGCTAACGTGTGACGTGACCTACAAAGTGGCGTTTACTTTGATAACACATCCGGTTAACTGACGTCTAGTAAAAGTTAACTCTCAATCTTTACAAAGATATGAACCAATTTAAACACCTTGTTACC